GACTGTCTCCTGTGTACTGCCACGCCCTTCCCGTCTCCCCAGGTCTTAGGCCTGGAAATGGGGCCAGGTGGTAGAGCACTTGTGCATAGGGCTCATAATCAACTTCCAGCCCCAGAAAGATGTGCTAAATAATCCCTATCAGTATTTCCAATTTTTTCCCTTTTTTCCCCTCCAATAAATATAGGTTTCAAGGAAGGCCCCCTTATACCTAATTTTAATGTATACATCATCTCTCCACTACCTTAAGAAGGTCCACTCAAGGCAGCACAGAAGGTGCCTGAGATCATCTCTATGCATACTGTGTACATGCTGAAGGATTTAGGGAATTCCTTGTACTTCTGCATATATAATAATATATATAGTAAGAATAATATCCTCTGCAAATATAATAAGTCTAGTGGGGTGCACAACCTCTCCAGGTCCCCAAGTTAGCATTGTTTCAGTTATCAAGTGTCTACCTAATGGTCTAGCACTTGCAAAGCCCTGTGATGATGAAGTCCAACTGAGGTGACAACCAGGGGAAGGGCTAAGCAAAACAACTTTAAAACAGTCACCCTCTTGCTAGGCACCAGTAGCTCAAGCTTGTAATCCTAGCTATTCAGGAGGCTGAGATCTGAGGATCATAGTTTAAAGCCAGCAAGTCTATGAGACTCATCTCCAGTTAACCAAAAAAGCCAGAAGTGGAGTGGTGGCTCAAGTGGCAGAGCATTTACCTTTGAAAGAAAAAGTTAAGGACAGCACCCAGGCCCTGAGTTCAACCTCCAGGTCTGGCACAAAAACAAAACAAAACAAAACAAAAAAAAAGTCCAACATCATCTTCTATGGAAAACTTGGTTAAGGCATGAAATGATATGACTAAGACTTGTATCTTCATTAAGACATACACATATACATTCATGGACATGGACATATGTGTCCATAACTAATTATGGGACTACATAGGAAGATGAAGGGAAGGAAAGGGAAAAAGAATGATGGTGAACTTATGAAGACAGAATATGGACTCTCAATGAATGCTGCTAATGAGTAAGAGATGGGGGTGGAGAAAGAAAACAAAGGAGAAAGTTATTCTCAGCAAAATAATATTACATGTCTGATATACCGTAGTGAAACGCTTTGGTGTGATTAAAATACACCAAAAAAAAGGGCCAGGCTGGCATGGGGGGGCATGAAGATGAATATGGTCAATAACTGACTTACAAACATAAAAACAGAACAATGAAACCTGCTGAAATTATTTTAAGAGGGAGAGTGACAAGTGGGGGTAGTTGACCAGTATACGCAGATTACATGTATGGAAATGTCAATGAAACTCTTCTTGTACAATTAATGTATGCTAATTTTAAAAAAAGAACCCTATCTTCAAAATGCCTCCTTTGTCTTGGTAACCGGTCTATGTAACCAGTGTGATTTCATTCTTGCTCAGTTACCCCTTCAGCTAAAGCCCATGATTGCAGGGCCTACACTGCTCATTCCTTCAGCTGGATTTCTTTTCTAACATTACTAATCTCAAATGTGTTAACCAGTCTTGTTTGGAAAATCTAAGTGCAACCATTTTGATGCTCATGGCTTGTTACCTATAACATGTATGTATATACATGCTATAACATGAATAACGTAGACATCCATATAATCCATAAACTTTCACACTCTTGAACCTGAGTGCACAGATGACATCTCTGACGCGAGCCCAGACTCTTCCAGAAGTAGTGACCCCCCTCATACACGGCTCCTGTGGCAAAAGGCAGGTGCTCCAACAGCTTTGGAGGGCAAGAAAAGCATCAATCTGGCACTGACAGTGCTTCCAGAGTGTCACTCTCACCAGGCAGAGCCCAGTCTGACACATGACCATCTCCAAGGAAGGCACTATTCTACGTGACAGAGAAGCAGGACAGGGGTTGGGAAGGAACCGGCACAAGAGTCCTTTGGGATTATGGAGAACAAAATGTTCCACTAATGTCCAGATATTTTAGCAGAAATAGACCTCAGGAAAAAAACAAAACAATCCTCTGCTACACTCTGGCTGACAGATGAGTTCCAAGTGTGAAGCATCCATTGAGCACCTGAGCCAGGTGGTCTGACAGCGCTTCCCTCAGAGCTGGGACTCATCAGGTGCTAAAAGGATCCTGCTTGTCACTCACCCAGGGTGGCTGTAGATGCCTGATGAATGCCATGTGTTCACAAGGCACTGCTAGGACTAGCCATTCCCTCAGCTCCAAAGAGGGAGGTGGTACTGGCAACTGAGGCCAGAGGGCAGATGCCCTGGCCTTCCAGCTCGTGGCAGTCACTGGGTACAGAAGACAGCTCAGTTCTCCCAGCATGTTTGAAACACTTGGGGCTGACTGACCAGTCCCTCTTACCACTCTGTACGCTTTCCCCAAGATTCATCCTTTTGCTTTTTCCCCACTGTGACGTTTTCTCTGAGACTGCTCTGATATCACCATAGATATGAAATTCTAGGGTTCTGCCCTAGTTCCACCTGTGTAACAACACATCTCATAAGTGAACCTGCTCTGGCCCTACCCTAGCCTAATGATCCCATGACATAGCAAATGGAACCTGCTTACAAATATGACTGGTGTCATCTTGCAGACATGAGTGTGACAGGAAATTTCTGGAGACTGGCAATGGTCCAAAACCAGGTAATAATATAGATTCCACGTAGAGACTGGACAGGGGGGATTGGACAGAGATTGGACAGAAAGGGGACAGATGGATGTGAAGGATGTGTTATTCCCAGTGGTGGTGAATGGCTGAGCTAGCAGGTACCAGGGAAATTACTCAACTGCAGATTACATTGTGATTACAGATGGCAAGCGAGGTAGATGGGAGAGAGAATAGACTAAAATTTTCTATCTTAAGACTGATTTTTTAACTTGGCAAGGCAAAGTTTACTTCTGCAGAAGGGTGCCCCATCAGCTGAAATCTAGCAAGCAAGCACATGGAGCAGGCTGGTGCTCCCCTTTTATCCCTAACACAGCAGGCCCTGCCCCTTTACCTGGATTGGTCAGGCTCAGGGTTCACACTCTCTCCTGTTTAGCTAACACCCAGCATTTGAACCAAGGACTGGGAATTTTAATTTTTTTTTTTTTTGGGTCCAGTCGTGGGGCCTGAACTCTGGGCCTGGGCGCTGTCCCTCAGCTCTTCAGCTCAAGGCTAGCACTCTACCACTTGAGCCACAGCGCCACTTCCAGCTTTTTTCTTTTTGCTTATGTGGTGCTGAGGAATCAAACCCAGGGCCTCAGACATGCAAGGCAAGCGTTCTACCACTGTGCCACCTTCCCAGCCCCAGGACTGGGAATTTTAATGACAGACTTTTTTTTTTTTTGGTTGGTCATGAGGCTTGAACTTTGGGCTTGGGCACTGTCCTTGCACTCTTCAGCTCAAGGCAAGTGCTCTACTGCTTGAGCCACAGTGCCACTTCCAGTTTTCTAGTGGTTTATTGGAGATAAGAGTCTTATGGGGTTTCCTGCCCAAGATGGCTTTGAACTGCGATCCTCAGATCTCAGCCTCCTCAGTGGCTAGGATTACAGGTGTGAGCCACCGGCGCTCAGCATAACAAGCTCTTAATAAACAAGAAAAGTCATGAAAAGTCTGGAGGACTCAATCAAAACTCCAGCAAGAACACCGACTTCTTTTTTTTTTTTTTTGTCAGTCGTGGGGCTTGAACTCTGGGCTTGGGCACTGTCCCTGAGCAGCTCAAGGCAAGCACTCTACCTCTTGAGCCACAGCATCACTTCTGGTTTTCTAGTGGTTTATTGGAGATCAGAGTCTCATGGACTTTTCTGCCCGGCTAGCTTTGAACTGTGATCCTCAGATCTCAGCCTCCTATGTAGCTAGGATTACAGCCAAGAGCCACTGGCGCCCAGCTACTGACTTTCTTGATGTTTAAAACTCAGAAAAGGGGAAGTGGCATTGTGGCTCTAAGTGGTAGAGTGCTAGCCTTGAGCAAAAGAGCTCAAGGATAGTGTCCAGGCCCTGAGTTCAAGCCCTACAACCAACAACAACAATAAAGTATTACTTGTTAGGCCTGGGAATGTGGCTTAGTGGTAGAGTACTTGCCGAGCATGCATGAAGCCCTGGGTTTGATTCCTCAGTACCACATCAACAGAAAAAGCCAGAAGTGGCGCTGTGGCTCAAGTGGTAGAATACTAGCCTTGAGCACAAAGAGGCTCAGGGACAATGCTCAGGCTCTGAGTTCAAGCCCCAGGACTGGCCAAAAAAAAAAAAAAAAAGTGATTGGCATTTCAGAGATGTGAGTGATTTGGAACTACTGGGTTTTCTGCAGCCTGTCTTGGAGTTGAAATTTTTTTTTTTGGTAGTGGGGCTTGAATTTAGGGACTGGGCACTGTCCCTGAGCACTTCTGCTCAAGGCAAGTGCTCTACCATTTTAACCAAACCTCTACTTCCAGTTTTCCAGTGGTTAATTGAAGATAAGAATCTCATGGACTTTCCTGCCCTGGCTGGCTTTTAACTGTGATCTTCAAATCTCAGCCTCCTGAATAGCTATGATTATAGGTGTTAGCCACCATTGTTGGGTTAGGAATTTGAATGTTAACATGATAATTCCCAATGCCATTGTCAGAGAGCTCATCCAAGGCAGCAGACAAGCAGATCACAATGCAACTTCAGGCTCTTATGTGCAAACCTCTCCCAAGAGGTAGGAACTCATGGAGGTAAGAAGGGTCTCTGAAAGCAGGCGATGCCTATGGAGGGAGGGAGCTGAGATTCTCATTTTATTGCAGTCGGTAGTACCACAGCAGAGAGGGCCTGAGAACAAGTCTGCTTTACCAGCAGTTCTAAAGTCTTATTACCTGAGATTTGCATTCTCGGGGCGGGGGGCGGGGGGCGGGGGGGGGGGGGCGTCAATCAAGATTGGATAACTAATTCTCTTGTAGATTTGGATTTGGCCCTGACAGAACATGTACTAACTTGCAAAAGGCTTGAAGAGATTATAGAAGCTCGCTAAGCACCAAGTCCCAGTGAAAGAAACATGATTTAAAAAGTGAGCCACATACTTTAGCACTCCCTTAAGCATAGAGAGACATCAGTCTGGGAGCAGTAGCAAGACACCTGTCCCAGAGCACTGGCCACTGAGACAGTTCCCTTCCAGGAACTGCTGCCACCTGCAGCCTCCCAGGAAAGCCCTTGGGTACTCATTACGCATTGCATGGCTCACTTCTCGTCATCCCGCCCATAGTTAATAGTCTGTAAGGCCTGAGCTATGAGCATCGCCATCTCCCGGGTGCCGGCAGCAACCACTCTGCAGGACATGAGGTCGAAGGGTCCACCTGGGAACAGAGGGGACAGAACAGACACCTGGTTACTGGAACTAACCTGTCTTGTATAGTAGCTTGTCACACACACACACACACACACGCACGCACGCACGCACGCACACACACACACACACACACACACACACACGTGCGCGCACGCGCTGGGAGTACAATTGAGTTCCAGGGCCTGTACCCCACAGGTGGTCCAAAAGGGAGAAGACAGCCAGCTATAGTGCAGGCTATATATATCTGAGCCTCTGAATAGAGCTGCCTTTCTGTGTCCAGTGAAAGGCAAAAGACGGATGAGGCAAGGCTGAACAGTCTATCCCATACTGTGCTAGGTACATGGGTAACCAAGGCTCAGAGGAATGAAGGATCTGCTCAACTCAGTCTGGGCAGGCCAGGCCTGCCTTCCCCTCACCCTCCCTGATCTTCCTAGGGATGCACAAAACAGAAAAGACTGCACACTGGAGACGTACGTGTCTTGAGGTGCTCACATGATCCAGAGTGCACTGGTGGCTACAGAGCTCACCTGAGGTGTCCATCACGATGCCTCCCGCTTCTCTAATGATCACTGTAGCAGCTGCCAGGTCCCAGCAGTGCAGGCCAAACTGGTAATAGGCATCCGCAGCCCCAGAGGCCAGGTGGCAGAGTGCCAAGGTGGAGCTGCCAATCACTCGGACTCTGCAGAGAGTGAAGGAGGGCAGGTATGGGCCAAGAGGGCAGTACCCTTGCTGCCTTGGTGTGGCATGCATGCTGCCAGTCCCCTCACCCACTGCGAGCCACAGGGGGCTGTCACACTGAAGATGCAGAACCCAGGGCCTCTCTGCCATGCCACCAGCATTCTGCATGCAATCACAGGGCTACAGGGCACAACCCGCAGCTGGTACACCGAGGCCTGAGGTTCTGACTACACAAGCATCATTACATTACAGTAGCACCCTCAGGGCGCCCGGGGGTATGTATGTGTGCATATAGACATACATGAAGATGAGTCACTCAGCTTAATAAATCTTGGGAGAAACAAATCAGAGACTTTTAAAACAAGTGCACCAAAGGGGACGCTTAAGGACCTAGAAGTCTGTGTCGGAAACCTGAGGTCAGAAACGGGACAGGGGACACAGCATGGTATGGAGGACAAACCTCCAGGGCCTCCGGGGCCTGGTGTCACAGCACCCCACACCTGTCTCTCTCCTAGCTAGCCAGGGCACTCCCTCTTCAACCTCCTGGAAGTTCTCTCCCCTCTGACCACAGGATGTTCCTGGGCCCCAGAATCCGTACCCATGAGCCTTCGCGTGAAGCAGACGCTCCATGTTGCTCAAGAACAGTGACAGAGTGGTGGGATCACGTTTGGGCCCAATTTCCGTCAGAACCAATGCCTTGGAGAGATCTGAAACAGAATTTCCATCCATGGAGAGATCACATCTCGGCTTTAGCAGAACTGTCAGGGTTTGCCCCAAGCAAGCCTCAAACATCTGTCTGTCACTGCCTGAGAGCAGGGTTGTTTGGAGTCTTTCTGCTAGCTGAGTTGGGAAGTAAGGCCGTGGGGGAGGGAAGCAAAGGCTTCCGTTAGTGCATCCTCTGATTGTCTGCTGAGGAGCTGACCCTTCACGCCTCTCTTCCCCAGAATTTGGTAACTTACAAAAAATGACCATTATTCAATCACAGGCAAAAACAAAAGGATTCCACAATGGGATCCTGGAATGTTCAGAGGGAAATGCCTTTCTTTCTGAAAGAGTTTTAATACAAACTCATCTCTAGCTGCGTGGCTCAGGGCCTTTCTGACGAGGAAGTGACCTGAGTCCAATTGTCTCTAGGAAGGACAACTGCTGGGAGGCATGGGCCTTGTCTGTGCAGAGGCCAACCAAGCCCTCATACCAAGTGTCTCCTTTCTATATTGTGAAACTCTGCCAGAGCCAGGAGCCTGACTTGGTATTGGGGATGTGACTGAGACTTGATGAGGATGGTTTGTCTTTGCCACATTCCCACACATGCCAGACATGTCCTGTCTTAACCCATCAGGGTACACCATGCCGGCAGGATGCAGCCACACTGGGTATGCTAGTCCACAACTAGAGAGGAAACAGCTTCTATGACAGTTTACTTGATCAGCCCAATTGTGTCACCACGTCCAAAGAAATCCTCCTCAGCCTTTTCTGCCAGTAGAGCTGTTGTTTTTTACACCTTGAGCACTACTGAGGCACAGCTACACAGCAAGGCAGCCTGCTTCAGACGTCCAAGTTCCTTACTGCCTGACACACCCAGCATCAAGGCTGAACTAATGCTATGTTTCCCCCAAGGATGTGGGTGAGTGGGGTATCCAGTGGACACTGGCACTGAGCTGCCATGTTACCCATGCACAGGACCTCAGGATGGTACACAGGTGCACCAGAAAATTGCTGTGGACCTCATGGTCAAGGGTCAACTTTTCCTCCCCCTGTCTTCCAAGGGGAAAAGCTTTTGGGGAAAAAACCATATTCCCAGGGCCAGGCACAAGAGACCTCAATACATAGTCACTGGGTGAATGAATGCCTTCTCTTAAATTCTAGCATCCAAGAAAACTGGCCAGGGGGAGCAATTGCCTAGCATGCAAGAGGTTCTGGATTCAATCTCTTGGAGCAAAAATAAAGCACCATTATATTATAGTTGTTATTTTAATTTATGGAAAGAAATTTTGAGTTCAGTAGAATTTTACTGGATAATCTAAGAATAAGATAGTAATCATTAATAAAGTATTAAGAATAGGTAAAAATATTTTAGTTTAAAAAAATATTCTTTTAGCCAGGTCCTCACGTCTATAATCCTACTCAAGAGGCTGAGATCAGAGGATTGTGGTTCAAAGCCAGCCTGGGCAAGAAAGTCTGTGAGACTCTTCTTTCCAATTGCATAGCAAAAAGCTGGAGGTGGAACTGTGGCTCAAAGAGGTAGAGCTCTAGCCTTGAGCACAAAAGCTTGGGGACAGTGCCCAGGCCTTGAGTTCAAGCCCCAGGATCGCATGCATGCGCATGTGTGTGCACGTGCGCGCATGCACATGCACACACATACACATACAGTTTTGTGGATTTTTTTTAACGTTTGTGAGATCCCATGTTGACATTCTGGATGTTGTGGTGTATGCCTGTAATCCCAGTGGTGCAGGAGGCATAGGCAGGAGGACTGCCATCTAAGGCTAGTACCAAGCAAAAAACACTAGACTCTATCTAACTGAAAAATAACTAAAAAGAGGGCTGGGGGCATGGATCAGGTGATAGAGAACCTGCCTCACAGGTATGAAGCCTTGAGTTCAAACCCTAGTCCTGGTTCCCTCTCAAAAAAAATCTTCTTTTGCAAAAAAAATATTATATTTTATTTGGGAAAACAGAAACTGGACTCACCAAAGAAGAAATGCAGATGAGAAGCCAATGAAAGCATGGTCCACATTACATGTCACAGGGAAATGCAAATGTACACAACAGTGAGACCCCAATGTACACACGTTAGAATTGTCAAAATCCAGAACACGGACAATACCAAACATTGGTAAGGATGTGCAGTAACAGGACTATACCATTAGGGGAAATGTCAACTGGCATAGACACTGTGGAAGACAAGACAGTTCTCATACACCAAACATCCTGTCTCCATCTGATTCAGCAATTGTGCTACTTGGCACTTACTAAAGGAGTTGGAAGCTTAGGTTTTCATACCACAAGTCTGTATGTAGATGGTTATAGAAGTCTTATTTATAACAACACTAATGTGGAAGCAACCAAAATGTTCTTTAGTAGGTAGGTAGAGGCAGAGAGTGGCACAAGTAGATAGGAAATATTGTTTGGTACTCAAAAAACACTGAGCTCTTGAGTAATGAAAAGACATGAAGAAAAGTAAACGCAGGTTAACAAGTGAAAGAAGGGCAAAACTTGCCCAAATAGTGAGAAGATCAGAGGTTGCCCGAGGCTGTGGAAGGAATGCATAGGAGGAGACAGAATTTTCAGGGTAGTGAACTGTTCTGTATGGTACATAGCGATAAAGATATATTTATCCATTTGAATGTATAACACCAGGAGTAGACTCTACTGTCAGCTACAGTAACACTGGCATAGCAGTGTGGGTTCATAGATTGCAGCCATTAAGGAAGGAAGGCTTCTCTAGGGGTGCACTTCTATATTAATGAACCTTCAAAGTAGCCTTTCCTTTTGTTTCAACTAATAGGTTTTTGAGAAAACTGAGCATGCTCCAAGTTATGCTTGTCTGCTATTTTAACTTTTCTTCTTTAAAATGATACTAAGGTTTGACAAGGCCTGGGACTTGTTAAGGCAGGTACCCTACCACTTGAGCTATGTATACTTCCAGGCAGCATAGATTTTAACCTTTCAAAATACCCTGTGATAAAACTAGAGTTGGAGGAATGAAAAACTAAACTACAGACATCTACAAGCAAAAACTATAGCTGGGTACCAGTAGCTCACTCCTATAATCCTAGCTACTCAGGTAGTTGAGATCTAAGGATTGAGGTTCAGGTTCAAAGGCAGGACAGGCAGGAAAGTCTGTGAGACTCTAATCTTTAATTAACCATCAAAAAGCCAAGTGGAACTGTGGCTCGAGTGGTGTACGTGCTAGCCTTGAGCAAAGAAGCTACAGCAAAGCATCCAGGGCTTAAATAGAGATTCAGGTGTGCACTCAACCACACCCACACCCACACCTACACCCACACACACATGCATGCATTCCCCCCCGCCAACCGCCAAACACACAAAATGACAATAAAAACTGAAAACTTTGCCTATAAGGTCTACTTAGACCTAAAATGAAATCTCTGGTGGGTGGGCCACACAGCCTCAGAAGCTGTGCAGGACGAAATAGAAGCACTGAGATTCAAGATTGGATTCAAGAAAAAGAGAACCTCAGCCGGGCGCTGGTGGCTCACGCCTGTAATACTAGCTACTCAGGAGGCTGAGATCTGAGGATCTCGGTTCAAAGCCAGCCCGGGCAGGAGAGACCATGAGGCTCCTATCTCCAATAAACCACCAGAAAACCGGAAGTGGCGCTGTAGCTCAAGTGGTAGAGCGCTCGCCTTGAGCTGAAGAGCTGAGGGACAGCGCCCAGGCCCAGAGTTCAAGCCCCACGACCGACAAAAAAAAAAAAAAAGAGAACCTCAAAATCACACTAGATACCATGCGGGCCAGGCGGGCTGGCACATTAGGTCCCTGGTGTGGGCTGCTCAGAAAGGACAGAGCCAATCCTGTGATCTCTCATGACTCACTTCTTGAGGTTTCCTTAAGGGCAGGCCTAGCATTGAGTTGATACTGCCAGGAAGGGAGTAAAAAGGAGCAAAAGAAAAACACCTAGGTAAGGATGAGGGAGAACAGAGTGAAAAAACAAAAACAAGACCTATTTTGGGAACATTATACAGAAACAGCAAAAGGTGCTCTGGAGACAAACGACAAAAATTGTCCTGGACACACTGGCCTCCAAGCCTCCAAACTCGGGACCATAAAATACAAGTAAAAATAACTACAAAGGATTATGGCTGGCCAGGCGCTGGTGGCTCACGCCTGTAATCATAGCTACTCAGAAGGCTGAGATCTGAGGATCATGGTTCAAAGCCAGCCCAGGCAGGAAAGTCCATAAGACTCATCTCCAATAAACCACCAGAAAACCAGAAGTGGCGCTGTAGCTCAAGTGGTAGAGCGCTGGCCTTGAGCTGAAGAGCTGAAGGATAGCACCCAGGTCCAGAGTTCAAGCCCCACGACCACACACACACACACACACACACACACACACACACACACACACACACACACACACGAATCATGGCTAGATCACACAACTCTAAGAGAAAAAAAGAATAAGGCTCAAAGTAACATCTCTACAGTCAATAAAAGTATGCCTAAAATATTTGTTCCTAAAATTTAAGTAGCTTTAGGTAATAAAGAATGGGTAGGGCTGGGAAGGTGGCTCAGTGGTAAAGCGCTTGCCTTGCATGCATGAGGCCCGGGGTTCGATTCCTCAGTATCACATAAGCAAAAAGAAAAAAAGCCGGAAGTGGCGCTGTGGCTCAAGTGGTAGAGCGCTAGCCTTGAGCTAAAGAGCTGAGGGACAGCGCCCAGGCCCAGAATTCAGGCCCCACGACCGGACTCAAAAACAAAGAATGGGTAGTGGCACTGTAGCTCAAGTGGTAGAGCGCTAACCTTGAGTGCTCAGGCTCAGTCTCAAGCCCTACAACCGACCAAAAAAAAAAAAAAAAAAAATGCATGACAAATCATGTAAGTACTTGGGAGGCTGAGGTTGAAAGGATCAGCCTTGGTAGCCTTGGCCAGGCTGGGTAGAAAATTTTGCAAGACTCCATCTGAATTGAGAGCTGAATGTCATCCCAGCTATAAAAGGAAGCCTAAGATGGGGAGGGGCAGCTCAAGCATGCATTCAGACAAGAAGCGGGACGCTATCTCAAAAATTACCAGTGCACCAAAAAGGAAATGCAAATCAAAACCAATCTTACTAATCGTACCCAGTAAGATCGGGTGAGATTTCCCTGGTAAGATTGATCAGCATTGAGAAGCAGGAACAGTAACAAATGTTACAGGGGATGCAGGGAGGAGGGGAAGGAACCCTACTCACTGTTGGTGGGAATATAAACTACATGCAACCACTCTGGAAAATGGTTTGGAGATTCTTTAAGAAACTAAGCATGGAAATACCCGTGATCCAGCCACACCACTCCTGGGTATCTACCCAGAATATTACAAGTCAGGATTCAGTAAAGACACTTACTTGCACATTGATGCTCATCAGTGCACAATTCATAATAGCCAAGTTATGGAAACAGACTAGATGCCCTACAACAGATGACTGGACCAAAAAATGTGGTGAAAAATAAAATGGCCAGTGCAAAAAAAGGGCTAAAGATGTGACCGTGGTAAGAGTGCCTCCCTAGCAAACGTGAGGCCCTAAATTCAAAATCCCAGAGTTTAGGGGAAAAATGGGAAAATATTTCAGACAATGAACTAAAAGGACCACAGGATGAATAAGCATTATAGATTATATTTTACAGGAAATACAAGATAAAGAAGAAAAATGTACACATTAAAATTGATGATGAAAGCAAAAGGAAAGATCAAGCACAACTGCTCTCGCCTGTCATCCCAACTACTCAGGAGGTAGAGTGGGAGAATCACAGAAGTAGACCGTCCTGGACAGAATGTTAACGAGACCCCATTTCAACCAACAGCTGGCAAAGTGGTGTGTGCCTATCATTCCCGCTATACAGGAGGCTTAAAATGAAGTATCCCAGTTCCAGCTGGCTTAAATATAAACATAAGACCCTACTGGAGGGGGCTGGGAAGGTAGCTCAGCGGTAGAGTGCAGGCCTTGCAAGCATGAGGCCCTGGGTTCGATTCCTCAGCACCACATAAACAGAAAAAGCTGAAAGTGGTGTTGTGGCTCCAGTGGTAGAGCGCTAGCCTTGAGCTGAAGAGCTGAGGGCCAGCGCCCAGGCCCAGAGTTCAGGCCCCACAACCAACAAAAAAAAAAAAAGACCCTACTGGAAAAATAACTAAGAAAACAAATACAAAAGAAGCAAGAGACGTGAATAAAAAGACGAAATTACAAATCATGTACCTAGAAACTCTGAGATATGTGCTTAAAAAATTACTAGACTCTAAAGAAAAAGAAAACACTGTCCTTTGGTTCTATAGGGCAGAAAGTAGGTGAAAGAAAAGCAAACTGTCACTGGGGGCAGGGGTGCATGCTTACAATCCCAGTGCTTAGGTAGCAGAGGCAGGAGGATAATTTCAAGGCTAGCCTGGGTTACACAGTGAGACACTATCGCAAAAATTTTAAAAATCAAATTGTCTTCAAACCTTCCAAAAACATGAATTGCCAGTAGACGTTGGAGTCTGTTTTAGATACTTGAGACAAGAATGACAAGTCTTGGATTTTTATTATCAGCAAAATGGACATTCAGGTACTGAGGCCACTGATAAACTAATGCGTGTATAATTGTATTTAATCTTTACAATTGTTTTTGTTTGTTTTTGAGACAATCTTACCGTATAGCCCAGTTTGGATCCTGAATCAATACTCTCTCCTCTGCCTCCTAAGTGCTGGGATTATAAGCAGGAACCACCACCCACAGTGTCACAATTACTCTCACTGTGGTTCAGCATTTAAATGAGAACTGAGGTTTGACACAGGAAGTAGATTCAGGGCCCAACGCCAGGTCTGCATCGCACCCAAAGATCTTTCTATCCAGAGCACACTGTCACCTGCTAGACCGATCTGATGACCAAGACTGAAAATAAGAATAGCACTAGGGTTTGAACTCAAGGACCTATGCTTACCAGTCAAGTGCTCTACTACTTGAGCCCACATCCCCATCCCAATTTTGCTTTAGTTATTTTTCAGGTAGGATCTCATGTTTGTGCCCAAGCCTGGCCTCAAACTGTGATCCTTCCACCTATGGCCTCCTGTGTAGCAGAGAACTCAGGCATACCAACACCACTGAGGCCCAGCTTGATTGAGATGGGGTCTCATTAACTTTTTGCCTGTGTTGGCCTCAAACTTTAAAAGTCATACTGTGCTTTAGAAGAAGAGTACTGTTTAGAGTGGAGGACACAGCACAGTAGGCTCCAGAGAGATCAATGATTATATGTGAACCAGTCACAGGCGTTTACTGAAGGGTCAGGAATAGCAGGAGCCAGGCCAGAGCTGTGCATCTGTGGACATGGGTCAATGCATGACTGAGTTGCAAAGGCAACAACCAGGAAGCCCTATATGAACACAGTTCAGTGTCATAATCAGTGGAAACACAAAGCAAAGTTCACTGGACATGTCTGATGACCTGCTTCCTCACCACTGCTACCCAATTAGGCCTGGATGGGTGCCTTCTGGAATGCATGGTTATAATTGATGCCTATTTGTGCAGCCAAACCAAACACTTTGGGAGCAGAACCAGGGCAGGGCTGGGGACTCAGATTCTGAGTTCAGTCTGGGGTCAGGGACACTAGCTTATATCATCCTGCCAGTGTCCCTTCGGAGCCCTTCCCTACCTTCCACCCTAGGCTAGCACAGAACCCATGTGACCCCTGCAGTGCTACCTCTTCCCCCTCTAGTCTTATTGGCCCGTTCTTCACTGGGTGCCTTCTCATAGGGAAGGCCAGCACCTCATAAGCTGGGTCAGGTGAAGAGTAGCTGAAAGCCATATATCTGCTCCCCTTGCCACCGGAGGCCACCTAGGAACATAGTATCAACCTGGGAGGAGAAGCAGCAGGAAAATAGAAGGTTGAAGGATAGCAAGTCTGAAAAAGAGGCTAGTGATAGGCTAGAGGGCAGGTAGGTAGGCAGGCAGGTTCAGAGGAGGAAGAGGGGAGTGCTGGTACTTCAGAACTGAGGCTAATGTTGGTAAATGAAGTAGGGGTACTTCATGAGGCCCTGCTTCTAAAACACATATTAGATAGGAGCAGAAATGAGAATGGAGGTGTGGCTCAAGTGGTAGAGTATAGCCTTGAGTGAAAAAGCCAAGTTAGAACATGAGGCCTGAGTTCAAGCCACAGAACTGGCACCGAAAAAAGAAAAAGAAAAAGAAAGAAAGAAAGAAGGAAGGAAGGAAGGAAGGAAGGATGGAAGGAAGGCAGGCAGGCAGGCAGGCAGGCAGGATCTGTGTTTGCCCCTTTTTCTTTTCTGCAGTGCTGAGGTTGGAACCCAGGGCTTCATTCAAGCCAGGTACTTGTTCTACCTCTCAGCTATACCCTCAGCTCCCATAATATTTTTAAACCCAATCACAAGCAGTTTTCACAGTCTCCTCTAGCTGCTTTCTCCTTTGGGCTCTTCTTTTGTACTTGTTCTGGCATTTTTCTGTCCCTTTCAGTACCTGTTCCACACAGAATGCAATACTGCTGGTTTAGTTAAGGTGGGAGGAAGGCAAGAAGGAGGTGAGGAACCCTAAGCCAGCATGTTAAGGGTAGGTGGTGCCAGGAAGACACAGGCAGTCCAAGCTACCAGGCATGCTCAAGATTCTGTACTAAGGGAAGTAAAGTGAGCCACAATTAGTGGCAGGTTTAAGGTGCCTGGAAACGTCATAGACTTAACACAGGGGTCTTCAGAAACTAAACTGCTTCCCACACTAGCCACTGCTGGTCCACATGCAGACACCCACAGACACACCTGCATGACAACACCTGCAGATATGGCCTTACCAACATTTTTGACATACTGCCTGCCCTTGGCCTTAATGGCTCATTCAGCCCTACCACATAAACTGCTGTTAGTTGAAATTTTTGCCTTAAAGATGACAGATGTGAGTGCACACTCCTGGCCACATGACTCAAATCATTAAGGTACAGAATGTGGTGGGCTGGGACGGTGGTTCAGTGGTAGAGTGCTTGCCTTGCATGCTTGAGGCCCTGGATTCGATTCCTCAGCACCACAGAAGTGGAAAAAACCAGAAGTGGTGCTGTGGCTCAAGTGGTAGAGTGCTAGCCTTGAGCTGAAGAGCTGAGGGGCAGTGCCCAGGCCCAGAGTTCAGGCTCACAACCAACAATGACAACAGAAAGATACAGAGTATGTTCAACTTCTCACTCCATCAGGAAAATGATTCCCCTATAAAGAAGCCAGCTATGGTAGCATGGGGGCTGGGGGCATGGCTCAAGTTTTAGGGCATCTGCCTAGGAAGTGAAAGACCCTGAGTTCAAATCCCAGTACTTCCTCAGAGAGACAGAGATCAAGACATATACAGATTGGATGATCAGCAGATTTCTACCACTGTGTGTGAGGGTGACTTTTGCATTTTCCAATTACACTTCTCTCTGTGAAATGCGCTGAGCTGAGCTGCAATAACCCTACCTGTCTCCCCGGAGACTCGGAGGCGCTGGCCATTGCAGAAGGCACCCTGGCCCCTCCGGCCTGTGTACAGTCGCTCCTCTGTGCAGTGGTGAATCACTCCAAATTCCAGCTGCAAGGTGCACAGGGGAGAAAGAAGCAAATTCAACCTCTCATTTGACACAGGAAATAACAGTGAAGCAAAGACGAAGGCTGTACTTGATACTAACACCAGCCCAGTGACAATGTGCAAAAGTAGCCTTGCCAAACAGGAATGGAAATAATTATATTTCAGATAAGACCTGGGCATGACAGTAAATGTCCTTTTCCTTTTTATTTTTTGTACAAGGCCAGAATTTGAACTCTTGATCTGATGCCTTTGCTTACTGGCTGGTGCTCTAGCACGAGCCATGCCTCCGAAACACCCAACGGCAAACTTTCTTAAGTTAAAATGTATTAAGGGAAAGAGTGAAGGAATGACATTGTCCAAAAAGAAATGTACTCTTTACCTGACTTATATAACTGTAACCCCTCTACATATAACCTTTATAAGGATTTTAATTTTTTTTAATATATCTATACTAAACGCTATTATAATCAAACATTGTAAGCAAAACTTACTGAAAAAGCTGAATTCTTGATCTGTTTTATATTTTACTAGGAGAAAATGGCTACTTGTGACTATTCAAGCCCTATTAGAAGCCCTGTAGGCTGTTGATATATAAAAAATATTGGCTTTTATAAAGCCATTAGAACCAGAGACTCCATAGAACCTTCGTCCTTCAGCAGACAAATCACTCCACAGCAGCTTCCCACCTGATTCAAGTGACAAAGTGACAGAAACAGCTTCCCAACAAGAAAGATGAGGTGACCTCATTCCTAGGCACCTCAGATTCCTCTCTATCTCAGGCACAAGCATGCTTGGTCTGCTGTCTCTGGAGGATGAGAAGACCCAGGCCTTTGCAAAGTCTTGTCTGACCCTGAGGTGAAGTCGCCATCCCTAGGAATGGGAGTCCACCCTACAGGGAGGTGGTTCATTTCTGGAGGAGACCATTTGGCCAACACTGACAGTTTTCAGCTCTCCAGCAATACTTATCTGCCCTCCTCCACTACCAGAATGTCCAAATTAACCAATCCTGGAATTGTGTAGGCCAATGCCAGCCTGTGATGGCACTTCAAGACCATGGGAAATGTCCTGGCCTTGCCCCTGAGGGTTGGCAGGAAGAATGAGGGACTCCCTCAAGCGGAGACACCACTGCACATAGACACCTCCTGTGTTCAGTCTCCAGGAAGGTGGGATAGACATGGCAGGCCCTAGACAGGCTGAAGGTGGCTGGCCTTCTCAGCCCAGTCTTTCTTCCTGGAAGCTTTCCCCTACTACTGGTAACCTGGTGGTAAGCAGTGCTCCTCAGCCTCACATATTCACTGGTCTCTGTGACCACACTGAACAGAGATACCAATGAATTGTCAACTCCTTGCCTAAATTTCAGTATTATTTTTTTTTTCTGATCTCCAACATTAAGTACCTTGAGATGTGTATAATCTGTTTCTATATTGGGAAGTCTATGTTGACCTGAAAATGACTGTGACATTTGCCATTTTAAAGGGAGCTGCTTTTGAGAGATGTGGAGCCCCTGTCCTAATTACCAAGGTGCTTCCAAGCCCTGCTGACTGACCTTCACCCAGGACTTTCCTGCAGGTCTCATGCTATTGCTTAGTTCAGAAGGTCTCTGGGAATCCGGAGAGAGCCATGTTCTCACACTAATAGTCAGGAGGAGGTAAAGAAGAATTAATAGGATATTAAGATTAAAAACATTATCCCAAAATAGGATCGCCTTTTTGTGATTAGGTCACATGTTCTAGGGGTCAGAAGAGACTAAAGCATCTGCTAAGAACACTGCCTTCCACAGCAGCTGTGAAATGAGCCAGCCGGCCATGGGATGAAGTGAGTAGCTGCCATGGAGCCAGAAACCCATCCCCCCACACACTGGCCTGTGCTTGTTTACTTCCTTGGATTTGAAAAATATAGACTGGATTTACTAGTAATGATTAAGGCACAAGGCAAAGGGTAAACAGGCATGCTGAGATCGGAACCACAAAGGAGGACCGTGTATACCTCTTGGTGAACGGCAAATCCAATGCTAACTGCTACGGTGGGGAATCTGCAAAGGAAAACAGGATGAGTCACGTGAAATGGGATCACAAGCTCTCCAACACCAGCCTTCCTTCAAGTATCAGGATCTTTCTGCACTATGGCTGGGGTTTTGCTGTTGTTGTTTATTTTATAAACAACTTTCCACAACTTCACTGAGCTGCTTGCAAGATAAACATACCTAGCTGGCCATCATGTAAAATAGTTAACTTTGAAGCAATGTCTGGAAGTCGTGGAAGGCTCGAATAACTCCACATGACCAACTAATGCTCAATTAGTGCAATTTCAATAATTACATTTCTGGTTCTCAGTAATCTTAGGTGGCAGAGACCTCCTAAAAGGCCAGTCTCCCTCTTGGGTGGGGTATGGAGGCCCAGGAGACACTGTCACTGGCCCTGGACCATGGGCTCCACACAGGCCGGCCTGAGCCACAGGCCCCCTCTGAGCCATAGTAACATTCCTCTGTCGTTATCTCTTGCCTGAACTCTAGCAGCCAAGAACTTGTAAGCCACAGTAATAAAGGGATAGTTTTTATGTCACAGTTTGACTGTGGTTATGTGATTTTGTTGATGTTACTCAAAATGTCTCCTTTATGTGAAGGTCATCAGAATTTAAAAAGCAGCAAGGGTGAAGAAACATCTCATTCCTCAAACTTGTGGGCAGACACACAACTGAGAGTCTCATGAGAGAAATCCTGAGAGCTGGGTATGGGGAAACTTACAGACCAGGCTGTAACTCTGCTCCTACCTAAACAAGTAAGTCCCGTACACAGAGGAGGGCTCTGGCTGGCTGTGGTCGCAGTACCACAGGGCTCTCACAAGGCTCAAAGCATGAGAGCCATAGCTCAGACTGAGAGCTTACAGAGTTGGCCTTGGGGTTCTGAAACTGTCAAACCAACACTAGAGCCTGTTTTCAGTGATGCTCCTTTCCCAGCTTCTCCTCCAGCCCCAATTTCCCCCAAGGGCTACAGAGAGGGAAGCACTGGAGACCACAAGCCACTACAGCCATGAAAACTCTCAGAGGAATATGTGGCCTTTCTCATAAGATGGGGATTAGCCCATTGTATTCCTGTTATAAGCACTTTGGATGACAAATTGGACAGGTACTCCCCTCAGGGAAAACATAGGAGCAGAACCTCTGAAGAGGTCATGTTTTAGTTGAAGTGACTGCCTGGCAGCACCAAATGGCACTACTCCATAGCCTTGAAAGGGTCAGCTTGTCTGGGCATGACTGAGTTCTCATGGTAACCCTCGTCTGGAAAGTGTTTATGCTTAACAGAACTGGAATTACTTCATGGAAGTGTACTATGGAGGCAAACAAGTAATGACACCTAGCACAAAGAACCCCACAGCTTGGCTCTGTTTCTGCTTCTTATTTCCCATGAGTTCATGGGCCGCCACACACACACAACCAAGTCTCCCCAGATATGGTCAGGTTGGCACATGGCCTCAGTGGAAGCCATGTCATATGCTGTGCCCCTGGGTCCTTGTCTACCTACACATGGCCGCGAGTAATATATACAGTGCTCATCCTGCCACTGATAAGGAGCTCTCATGGTGGTAACCTCTCTGGGTCTGCAACTCAATTCCCTTCTCAGGAGCCCCTCTGACCTTCCTGAACTCTGGCCTTCTGCACCCACAACATTTACTACTGCCCCAAAGACAGCTCTTGACTGGACCTTAGCTCAGTAATCCTGAATCTCTGGCATCTGCCGCCCAAGTGCTGGAATACAGATGTGCACCACCATACCCCACCCAGACCATTTCTGAACAAGATTTCCTTACATACTCTTTAGAAAAGTCTCTCACAAATGATCCAACCTTAAAGAATATCAAAGTTTGATCATCTTAGTGAGAACATAAACCTACTATGGGTTTGCACACATAGCCCTCCCTTCAAAAACACTGCTTTTGGAAAGACAAAATCTTACGGAAGACACATGAAGCCCTGAAGCAGGATGGTGCTCCCAGCTCCTGCTCACCTATGCACAAAGTTGCAGGTGCCATCGATAGGATCGATGATCCAGGTCGGGCTGGAGGTGAGCACACACTTGGCCCCAGAGGCTGTGGACTCTTCTGCAATGAACCTGCAAAGGATGAGGATTCAGCTTGAGAAACCGCACCAGGAACGCAAGGCGATGTACCTCAAGTTGCTTATGATTGCATTAAGTAAAGAACAGGCACATTAAAAAGATCTTGTGATAACTTCTGCAGGTCGGACATGCAGACTCTTTCAAAGACCGCCAGTATCTTCATGTGTCTGCTAGCCCTTTGCCCCATGGGTTCCGGAAAGAGTAACCAAGCTGGGGATGTGAATTAGTGGTAAAGTGTGTAGCATGTACAAGGCTTGGGTTCAATCTCCAGCACCAACCCTCCCCCCAAGATCCTAGAGTCTCACCTAATGTCAGAGTTTTGGAAGAGCTCCAAGAGAACAGAGCAGTCCAGGTAGAAAGACACAAGAGCACAGAGACACTGACCACAAGTCCTGCAGAGGAAAAGCTAAACTACACACACTTCAGCCTGGAGCAAAGAGGCCAATGAAGCAGTTGGTGACGGTGCTGGCCTGCAGGGCAAGGCCCAGACTCTTCTTTGGCTTTTCTCTGGCAGTGCTGTGACATGCATCATGGAGAGGTTGTCATCTACACTGACACAGACAGAGGTGACAATATCTTGTCACCAGCAATGTAGGCCTAGTATCTCCTTTCCCCTTCCTCCCTGTTTTTTGGGACTTTAACTCTGTACCTGATGCTTTTTCTCACTGGCTGGCACTCTACCTCCTAAGCCACACCTCTATCTAACCCCATTCCTCTTCCCTGGTTTCCAGCTTCCCCTGGGGAGAAAGCAGGAGTGGGCTGGAGGGGTGGGACAGTTATCATGACACGCCTAACCTGAGAACTTGCAGAAGCCTTGTTGATACTCCTTCAGGAATGGGAGGCCTGTCAATCTGTCTCCAGTTTCTGTATTTTCTGTTCTTTCTGCAGAACAGCCCTTTGTAATAAGGCTCTCTATGGATAAGCCCCCTAAATTGTCCTCATTGGAACATGCCATCTCCCTTTCATCCCAACAAGACAAGAAAAATCTCAAGATCAACCCTGACAAAAGGGAACTGCTGGCTTTTTCCATATGGATCCATCAGCACCCTGCTGCTCACCCCTCCATTCTTGCCCCTACCACACACAGGTTGAGTGAAGCACACAGGGCCCTACCTCTGGCCAGGCCCCTGCCTCACAGCCCTATCAGTGGTCCCTGGAAGACTCTCCAGGCAGGTCCTTGGCTATAGACAAGGTGACCTCTGCAGCACACGAGGCAGTGCTAAGCGATATTCAGAACTGTCCCAGTGTGCCAAAGGTAGAGCCCTTGTGCCAGCCCTGCCTGTGGTAGGAGCTGAGCATACATTGGTTTGTAACTGAATGCAGAGCCCTGTTTTCCACTAGATCTTCAGGCCCTGTCCACATCTATACCAGAGGAAAAACAAGACTTGCCAAGAACATGTTTTTGCTAAGAAAGAAAAATGACTGACAGCTATTTCCTGCCCTGATGATAATCTGGTGAATTATCAATCATGGTCATCCCCAGGCTTCCCTCCACAGCCAGGCGCTCCTGGCTCCACTTTTCCCTAAGATCAAGCAAAGAGCTTGTGAACAAGAGGGACAAGCCTAAAAGTGAAACCTCTGTACCTGCTCTGTTCATTCACAACCATCACTGGCCATATATGTCCTCAGGCTGGCTCTCCTCCCCACATTTCAAGTGCTGGACACTTACACATGGGACTAGGATCTGTTATGCAGAGCAGCATAGGCAGAGCTCAGATCTGTTAGAGCAGAGAGGGCAGCAGGGCAATGCAGTGCTTTGCATCTGGAGTCAACAGCAACCTGTGTGGGGTCCTGTGCCACACTCCAACCACTGTGGTACCTTTCACAAGCTACAAAGTCCAGGTCCTACATGCACATACACGGGAATATACACATACATAGCCCTTCCATCACACAAAGAATCTCACAACCTATCTGAGGATTCGCTAAGGGAATGCTATATATACATCGATGCAGGCTGCTGTCCATCATTGCCCACGCCCCATAATCTCTAAAGAATCCCACAAATGAGCAGACAGAACACTGAGATGTGAGGACCAGGCTAGAGAGCTCAAGGGCTCAACCTGCTCCCTAAAGCTCAGCTTGTTGGACAGACAAGGCAGAAACGTCTTGTGGATTCTGACTGTATGACATACTTCCACTCCTGGGCACTGCCTCCCCATCAAGCGGTTCTTGCTTCTGCATCACATGACCCAAGCATGCAAACCAGAGTCCATGCTTAGGGACTGGTGCTCCCCAGACATGCCTAGATAAAACTGCCATGAACTTGATACAAGAGGCGGAGTGGGGAAGATGGGACACTACACAGAGACCCATTCCACTTAGATGGCACTATGTGGTGTGGCAGTCACTCTGCCTCTTAGGCAGAGATTTAAGGAACTAATACTGTTTCAATGTCTTCTGTAGCTCCATGGTTTTCTTTTCCTGGAGTGGCTTGTAGTGTTTTCAAAGAAAATACAACACACCCTAAAATCACTCACAAGAAGAAGGTGCCAAAGCTTAAATTGGGAACAAAGCTGATAAAGCAGTGAAATGATAAGGCTCAAGTCAAGAAGAGAGCAGAGATAACACAATGATGAATTCCCAGGAAACTCAGGAGCAATGTGGGTCCTTTTACTTTTTAAAGTGGGTTTCGAGTAGGAAGTAGAGAGGAGGCTGCTGGGCTGGAAGAGAAATGTCCAGTGGGCAGGAAGCAGTCTGGCAGCATAGACACCCCTCAGCTCACCATGGGCTTCTCAGGACATGCAGGAGCAGGAAGACTGTTTATCTATAAACCACATGTGTGGGACACGGGCCAGGGAGCTCTGAAAGGCTCTTGTTGCGGTGCTTCTGCTCTACATGACTCTCTGAGGGGGACATTCACCATATTCATTCTGGACCCCAGGCTTTCTCCAGCAGTCACTTATGTTCGTCCCAGGGGGCTCACCTTCTCTTTCCTGCCTTCTGCTCATTAGCCCACCTTCCCATATGAAGGTGGGAGGCATGCCCTTGGGTTCTCTGCTTGCTTTATACCTGCTGGTAATAGTTTGGGCAGGACTTCTTTGGCTAATCCACATTCAGGCTATCTGGCACCAAAAATACTTCTTCATGGAGGTAGGAAGGGAAATAGAGCTTTGACTAATTTATTTACACCTCATTTTCTTCATGTTGGAAGCTAGTACCTATGGAAGTAAAGAGAACACAGATCTCTGCAGAGGGAGTGGGGAAAAGTCTACTCTTGCAGACATTTCCCTGGACAGAAAAGCCACTGAAATGGCTACCTAAAACCTCTAACACAAACAGAAAAGCCACCGATGCACATGAGTTAATGTAGGGAGCTCCAGAACACTACATAAATCTAAGGAATGAAGGAGAGGAGGACAGCAACTAAGATAATGGTAGAAGACTGGCAACAGGTTCTGCATAATTTAACTACTTTCCTTTAAAAAATCAGTTCTAATGAACTTTCTATACAGTTAACAACCAAATACTTCTAAGATTTTTTCTTTTCCGACTGATTAGTGGTTACTTTGACAAGAGAGACAGAATTGTCTTCCTAGTCCATGAAGGGGAGCCAAGCTACCTATTGAAGCCTTTCTGAACTGCAGCGAATATCCCAACTTACCCAGGAACATGAGCACCCAGGAGGAAAAACATGGGTAAATGTCTGTGGTGGCAGGACCATGTTTGTTTGTTTTCCACATCAAGGACTTGTTTTATGTTCACTTGAGTCATGAATTCAACCTGTCAAGGGGTAAAGGTGGTAGCTAGACATACTGAGCAGTTCAAGTTCATTCCCTTTCCCTGCTTGAGCCAACTCTGACTATCCCGGCAACGCCACTCAGGAGAAGAGGATGACAAGAGTTTACTTACTGTCAGTGATGCTAATAGATTTTGTGTGTTTGTGTGCACATGAGCCAGTACTGGGCTTGCACTCAGGACCTGGACACTGTCCCTTAGCTTTTTTTTTTTTTTTTGGTCTGTTGTGGGGCTTGAACTCTAGGCCTGGGCATTGTCCCTGAGCTCTTCAGCTCAAGGCAAGCAATCTACCACTTGAGCCACAGCGCCACTTCTGGTTTTCTGGTGGTTAGCTGGAGATAAAGAGTCTCACAGGGAATTTCCTGCCCAGGCTGGCTTTGAACCACTATCCTTGGATCTCAGCCTCCTGAGTAACTAGGATTACAGGCATGAGCCACCAGCGCCCGGATCCCTTAGCTGTTTTGATCAAGGCTGGTACTCTACCACTTGAGCCATAGCTCTACTTCTGGCTTTTTGGTGGTTAATTAGAGATAAGAGTCTCATTAACTTTATACTGAGATCCTCAGATCTCACCTAGGATTACAGGTATGAGGCATGGGTACCCAGCGGTAATAGGTATTTTCAAAATAGTTACACTTAGATCTACTTCAAAATCATCAACTGGGGCTGGGAAGGTGGCTCAGTGGTAGTGTGCTTGCCTTGCATGCTTAAGGCCCTGGGTTTGATTCCTCAGCACCACATAAGCAAAAAGAGAAAAGCCGGAAGTGGTGCTGTGGCTCAAGTGGTAGAGCGCTAGCCTTGAGCTGAAGTGCTGAGGGACAGCGCCCAGGCCCAGAGTTCAGGCCCCATGACCGGACCCAAAAACAAAAAACAAAAACAAAAAACAAAATCATCAACTGGAAATAGGCTTGGGAGTCCAACAAAGCCAGGGCCTGGGCTGAGCTAAGTTAGTGTGGTCAACATCAACAGCAGCATGCTTCCAAGACCAGCTTGTAAAAACTCTAGCCTTCCTCTGTGGGTTTGCTTTCTACCATTACCAAGGTGTGCTAGTTAACAGGGAGATGCTGGGACCTCATGGATGGACCTGGCAAGGCAGTTCCTTCTCAGGCAAGGAATTCAAGACTGATTGCTGAGAAGTGCAGAAATCTGCCCGGCTGTGAGGGCTAGAAGCAGAAGAAAGTTTAAACCTCATCACTACTGAATCCACTGTATGCCTATTTTCAACATCATGGACTCAAGATTTTAGATTTCTCAGATGAGTAAAACAAAATAATAAAACCAACAAGAAGTCAGGGTGTTGTTTATTAAAAAGCAAACATAGTTGCAATCCATCTCAATGTTGTTTCATTAAAGAATAAAAATGAAAGACAAAATACCAGAATAAAAATCCTATCTAAGAAAGAATGACAGGCAATCTTATGTTAACATCTTATCTAATGTTGAAAGCAGAAAAACTAAATAATATTCATGTATTAATTCATATAATTATAATATGTATATCTTTTATTACATATTTATCAATTTGTCTATAAATTATAACTAGATGCCCATTTTACTTTAAAATCTTAGGCATGGATTAAAAACTAAACTTCACACCAGGCGCCAGAGGCTCATGCTTGTCATCCCAGCTACTCAGGAGGCTGAGCTCTGAGGATCATGGTTCAAAGCCAGCCTGGGCAGGAAAGTCCGTGAGACTCTTATCTCCAATAAACCACTAGAAAACCAGAAGTGGCGCTGTGGCTCAAGTGGTAGAGCACTCTCCTTGAGCTGAAGAGCACAGGGACAGCGTCCAAGCCCAGAGTTCAAGCCCCACAACCGACAAAAAAAACAAAAAAAAACAAAAACTAAACCTCACATAGATGAATTGAAAGCAGTTTCATTTGACTTTTATTTTATTTATTTATTTTTTGCTAGTTCTGGGGCTTTGACTTTGGGTCCCTGAGCTCTTTTTGCTCAAGGCTAGCACTCTACCACTTGAGTCACGGCGCCACTTCTGGCTGTTTGTGTTTATGTAGGACTGAGGAATCAAACCCAGGGCTTCATGCATACAAGGCAAGCACTCTACCACTGAGCCACCTTCCCAGCCCATCATTTGACTTTTTGAAACAAACAATATCAACATCCAACCTTCATCCTTGCCCCTGTGCTGGCTCGCAGCCCAGGAAGGAGATGGCAGGAAGCCTGGGAATGCCTATGGAACAGCCAAAGTCTAAGGTGAAGAATGGCACCAAAGTGGGGACTGGGGTTAGGAACCGCGATTCTTAGTCACTGATCTCTACACAAGTATATTTGTCTGACTCCTCCCAATGGAAGCCTGACACAAGCCTGCTGGAGAAGCTTCTAATAAGCCTAACATATGTTTTCCTTAAGATGCTCTCCTTGAGGGCATCAGTTTTCCCAGTATGCCTGAGGTCCAGTGAAAGCAGCTGCACTTGTAGTGGTGGATATTCACATTTACCTACAACAGAGTCTCTTCCACATACACACATGTGTAATAGGGCTTGCATTCCACAGAGCAGCTTATTTGAAGAATGTGACACCAGAACCCCCGACAACATCACTATGCCTATCTTGCGGTGACCATGAATCTTTTCTTGGGCTTCCAAAAGATAAGCCAGCCACAACTGTTACCATAGCAACCTCCAGGCCAACTTTGTAGAATACCTAGAAAGAGCTGGTTGGTTACTGTAGTATCTATCTTTCCTCTCCAAAAAACCCCCAAAAACCAAAAGCAAGCTGGATGATAAATTCTTTTAACATTGCCATTTCATTAAGATTGGACTCAATCTTAAAAAAAAAAAGATGGGGCTAGGATATAGCTCAGCAGTGCAGTGTTTGTCTAACATACTCAAGGCTCTAGGTTCTAGCCCCAGCACTACAAGAAAAAAAAACACTAAAATTTACATGAATATTCTTGAAATTATAAATATTTCAACAGATGCTACAAGTCTTGACTTTTAAATAAAGGAATAGGAAATAAGGAGTTGAGACACAGAATTGTCAACAACACAAGGATGACTCATGATAGAGAGAACAGAATCTTAATGCATCACTCACACTGGCCTGGAACTCACTATCCTCCTGCAGCTATCTCCTAAATTCTGGGATTAGAGGGCAAAGAGATCATCTAAAGGAGAACTAAGTAGTTCAAAAGGAACAATAAAAGAGAAGGTCAATGATTTAACTATGATGTGTTCTTTGGTTCCCGTATTCATCCATGGCAGGGATGTGTGTGTGTATATGGAACCTACCAGGTGGTGAACACACCAAGGACAGAGTCTTCCATTTCTGTCACCCAAGTCCATATAAATGTGGAACCTGACAGTTACAATACTCTATGCCCAGAAACCCAGTGGCTGGTATTCCAGTTTTAGGATCTTCCATGTGAGGGAGAAAAGAGACCTTTCTGCATCCAAGGAACAAGTTTTTACAATATCTGCTCTCCACAACTCTGAGGTAAGGGCACAGAGCCACCAACATAAATAGGGGTCTTACTCTGGGGCCCATGGATCCCCAGGCCCATATGCAAAATGCTGTGTAACTATTTTACTTTTTCCAAGGAAGAGAAAAATGGTTTACATCAAATCTTTCACGGACTCCCTAAAAGATGAAGAACACTGGCTCCAAAGAAGAAGAGCACAGCATCCCCATCAAGGACTTCTGTGGGACGTCTGCCATGTGCTCTGTCTTGGGCTAGGGGCCGCATGTCAATAAACACTGGTTGATGAATTGGATCCCATGTGGCTGCCAGTCCACCCTATGTCCTGTTTTTCAAGTAAGTCCCTGGGTGGCTGAACAAGCCCATCTGTCAGGATGTCACTGCACGTTCTTCAGATGGGTCATGCTTTTGCAAGATTCCTCTGGAAAGAGAAGTGGCTCAGTGCTTTCCCTACCATGGAGGATCAGGGGTTGGACCAAGCATCTAGGGATGCCTGGTCCATCCACATTCGAACCTCAGTGACAAATGGTAGAGTGTTCCTGGTTGGTACCTAGCCTCCATGAGTGAGGTGACTGTAATTGGAGTGTGTTTCCTAAAGAAAACACTCACCTGTGTGAGGGAAACCGCTTTCGCAACTCAGAAATAATTAAATCTTCCACGAGGTGATCTGTTTCTGTCACAAGATCTGCAGCAGATGTTTTTGTTGAGACATGTTTTTCTTCAGTGAGGGCTTTTCTAATGATCTAGAATAAAAGTATGGAGGCAGGTTAAAATTGCAGATCCCCGCAGAGTACCAGTGGCTCATGCCTATAATACTAGCTTTGATATCTGCGGATCTCAGGTCAAAGCCAGCCCGGGCAGGAAACTCCGTGAGACTCTTATCTCCAATAAACCACCAAGTGGCACTGTGGTTCAAGTGGTAGAGCATTTGCCTTGAGCTGAAGAGCTCAGGGACAGCACCCAGACCCAGAGTTCAAGCCCAATGACCGACAAAAAGAAAAAATTGCAGGTCCCCTTTCCCCCCAAACTCCTCTCTCTTCAAGGGCTGACTGAATAGACAAGATCTACGGACCATACTAGTCTGCCAACAGGGCTTACTTACTATCACACCAAGTTTTCCGAGGTTCTGGGAAGCTCTAATCACCCAACCATGACTTTTTATAAGAGTTTCACTGTTTTAAGTTATTTTGTCCTACCTGTGAAACAAGTTTTCTTTGGAGGAAAAGAAAAACACACTTTTTGTTGTTGTTTGGCAGTACTGGGGTTTGCACTTAAGGCCTCTGCTTATTAGGCAGGCATTTTACCACGTGAGCCACACCTCCAGTCCTTTTTTGCTCTAGTTTATTTTTCAGGTAGGATCATCTGTCATTTCCCCCACCACCCCAGGTTGCATTCAGACTGCAGTTCTAGCTACACCTTCCAAGATTATAAATTTGCACTATCACATCCAATTTGTTCTTTTGGGGTTTTTTTGCTGCTGTTGTTTCTTGTTTTTTTACTTTTGGTGGTACTGGGGTTTGAATCCAAGACCTTGTTCTACCACTTGTTCTACTCCTCTCTCTAGCTTGTTCCATGAGCTAGTATTTTCCTAGCTTTTATGCTTTTTTTCCTCTTCTTCTTTCTGCCTCCCAAGTAGCTGTTGTTCTAGGCAAGAGCAAAAACACAATTTTGAAAGTAGCATGGAACTTTATTGATAGGAACTGCCCAAAATGAAATGGCAGAACAGTTTTGACCCCTATAACGATATGAAGTCAAATTTATGATACTTGGGCATAACGTAAAGACTTTTCTACCTAATTTACAAATCACACAAAATGAGATATGGCAGTGAATCAAGAGTACAACCATTCCTGCTCAGAAACCTGTGAAAATTTAATTGTATTGCAGGAATTGAGGCTGGCTGGGAAACAACAGCATCAGACACCTCAGAGGCTCATGCAGGAGGTCAGAGGCTTCCCTAGGCTCACAGGACTGGGCGAAGGAATAGGCTTTGCAGCACATCTAGGCGTGAGGACTGAGCAGACACCAGAGCTCTAGCACCTTCTGCCAACCTTCTGTGATTCCAAGAACCCCTGGGAGACTCAAATACAGAGTCATAGAGAGAAATTAATCTGGATGCTATAGGATGGACCAGTCCTGGCATATGAAATAAAATATCCCTTCCAATTCCAGCCAGGAACTTTTCCCTTCCTTTCATATGTTCTCACTTGAGGTCTTCCTTATCATGATGATAAAGTGAGAACATCTAAAACTGACCGGAGATCTTTCCTCCAAAACCAGTCACCACTCAAAAGTCCTGTATTTCTTTCAAAAGTCCTATCAATTGCCTGACTTCCCAGGCTTGACATCCCTTTGCTCACTATGACCTTTCTTCTCCAAGCTGCTTTATGGTAAGTAAGCATCATCTAATGTTGAAATAGAAGACCTCGGAACGGATACAGAAATGAACTGCTAGTAGTTTCTCCTCCCTGCCTTCCCACCCTGCCTCACTGCCCAGCTGGCTAGTCCCACCCAAAGCTTACAGGTGGTATCATTTCTAAAATCTGGGCTGCAAAAATGACAGATATCTATTCTAGAAGACTGTGTGATGGATAACACAAAAAGTAAAGTGCAAAGTGGCTCCTACAGTCCATTAATCGCAGCTAGCCACTGTCAGTCCCAATGGACCTCCACCTACCTGTTGTCCTAGGCCTTCACTGTCTTGTATTTGCAATATCCTGCCAACACCACCAAACTAATTTTCTTACATCATTTGCACACACCAATCCTTCATCAAATGCATCTCCACAGGCTCTCTGTCTAGAGATTCTACACTCCAACATTTGGCCTACCTCCTCTAGGTATCCTAAATCCTGAGCTAGACTGGGCAGGTTATATAGCACTGCACTTGCATGTTTTATAGTGAGGACAGCTCGGGGCAAGAAAGTCTAAGGGCTGTGTGTGTGTGTGTGTGTGTGTGTAAGTTTGAGAGACAAAGGCATGTTAGGCAGAGGATATAACAACAGACCTTCAGGATCTTGTTGAAAAGGAAGATGTCATTGTGCAGATCTGGGCTGGGGTCTGAGACCCACAGCTCTGACAATCTCCATGGAGGCAGAGATTAAGGACAGTCCCACATCCCAGAGAGAAGAGGATCACCAGGAGTCTGCACTGTTCCAACATGACCTATGGGGTGGATGTCTGTATCTGCTTCTTGAACCAGTGCCTCCAGGGACTCCATAGCAGGACGATACCTGAGAGGACAGAGGCTTCATGTAGCTCACGCTTGCTGGGTCTCCTTTTGGGAAACAGCTGTGAAAATAATTACATACCCAACCATCTATGCTGGCACCTTCATCCAGAAGCTGGTGGCAGATTTGTGATATAGATCAGAACACTTTACAAAGAAAACTACCCAAGGCTCTGCCCACTGCCCTCAGAACTCACTCTAAGTCCTATACCACCCAGCCCTTAGCAATTTTTCACCTTACTATTCACAGAGCCCCCTGCCCACAAGTTCTTCTGGCCATCCTGGGTTTCCTCCCTAATTCTAGTCATATTTATCTCTGTGTAGGACCTGTGTGTCATGGTCTTTGTGTCTACACTTTCTCCCCATCTGACATCTTAAGTATCTTGTAAATTGGCTGTGTTCCTGTCCATGACTGAGACTGTGACAAAATACCTGCTGTCTGGGGCTTGAACTCAGGGCTTAGGCACTGTCCTTGAGCTTTTGTTCAAGACTACTGTTCTACCACTTGAGCCACAGCTCCACTTCTAGATTTTTTTTTACCAGTTAATTGGAGATAAGAGTCTCATGAGTTTTCCTGCCAGGGCTGGCTTTAAACCATGATCCTCAGATCTCAGCCTCCTGAGTAGTTAGGATTACAGGATTGAGCCACTGGCTCCTAGCTGATGCTAGGTTGTTTTAAGAACTACAGGAGATATTGATGCCAAGGTCCAAGTGCACAAGCTGAGGTACACCCCATATAGAACTTCATACCACACAAGTTTTCCTGAGAACAAAAATGTAGTTACAGAACAAAACGTAATGATTCACAGCAAAACTCCAAACCTAACACACACACACACACACACACACACACACACACACACACACACACACACACACCATACCTTGTTTCTAACCAGAAGCTAAAATACTAGGTAAAAAAAAAAAAGCTTAACTCATAAACTTTCCCAGCCAGAGTGGAAAGGTAATGGCAGTACTTTCAATCAGGTGTTTCTATCTTAAACTCAACATCCTGCCCTTCAGGAATATCCCAGGGTGGGAAGGTGGCAGAGACAAGTTGCCTGCTGAAGCTTTTTCCATGGTTGTTTGCAATTAGCAATAAGTCTGTGTGTGCTGTTTTTTAATAAATGCTTTTCAGCTACTCACTAACTAAGCAGGAATTTCACAGACCTCCTGGCCTGGGTGATTCCCTCCAAAGTTAATGTTTAATCTATGTACTACCAACCTTAAGTCACTGAAGCCAGAATTCCAAACCCAAAAGAAAGGAATACCCTCTGCTTCAGCATCAGACATCCTAAGCCAACAGAGCTAGGTATGGTAACTCCACCTCCAAATGCTTCTTCTACAGTTTCCAGAGAGGGCAAATCCAATCAACCAGTTTTACAGGCCCTTGCTGTCATCCCAGAGCCTGCTGTATTTCACACAATCCAATGGTAAAGCCTGTCCCCTCAGCCTTCCAAATATATCCTTCTTACCCGCGTCTTCACACAGCCAGTCAGGTCCACTCATTCCTCACTTGGCTTCCAATCAGACAGCCTAGTCTGGTCCCTAGACAGCAGCTACTCTGGTCTCTGAATACAGGACCCTACTTAGGACTTTCCTCTGAGTAAAAGTCAGAGTGCTCAATAAATGTTGAATGAGTACATTTCTCCTCAGTGTAGTCCCACCATTTAAAAAACAAATAGATAATAATAAAACATACACAAAGGCATTAAGAAACACAATAAAACACCTCAAATCCAGCAGAAAGGGCAGGCCATGCGCAGGGTTATAGAAGACAGAGCAAGGAAACTGCTGCCAGAGTGTGAACTGGTTACATGTGCTTAGAGAATCCATGACAGAATTGAATCCCACTCCTAATGCTAATCTTTCTCAATGAAAAGCATTTGTACATAACCAATAGGCACTGCAAGAGTATTCACAAACACATTACGCATGTTAACTCCAAACTGGACCTGATTCAGTTTCCTCAAGAACTTAATGAAAGCCAGGCCTGGTGGTCCATGTCTGTAATCCCAGCACTTGGGAGGCTGAGGCACATACAGTGATCACGAGTTCAAAGCCAGCCTGGGTATACAACACCTGTTTCAGAAGAGAAGAGAAAAGAGGGGAGAATGAGGAAGAGGGGGGAAAAGAATAGAGTGAAACCAAACAAAAGGCAGATGTACAACATGGTTCAAGAAACAGCAGCAGGCTGGGCACTGGTGGCTCACACCTGTAATCCTGGCTACTCAGAGGCTGAGATCTGAGGATCCAGGTTCAAAACCAGCCTGGGCAGGAAACTACTCGATGAGACTCTTATCTCCAATAAACCACTAGAAAACCGGAAGTGGCGCTGCGGCTCAAGCAGTAGAGCATTCTCCTTGAGCTGAAGAGCTGAGAGACAGCACCCAAGCCCAGAGTTCAAGCCCCACGATCGACAAAAAAAAAAAAGAAAGAAAGAAACAGCAGCAGGTTCTTATTAAACAGAAATCAGGTATAAAACAGAAAAATAAAAACTGGGAGGAGGCAACAATGCTTGATAAAAAATGTACTCATTATCTTGCTCATGTAATTGTAACCCCTCTGTACCGTATTTTCACAATAATATATATAGTAATAAATAAATAAATAAAAACAGGGCTCTGGGGACTGCTGCTCTTCATAAAAGCCTTTTTAATATGACTTGACTGGCTCAATTGCTCTGTAAAGACCATCACGTATCAAAACCAGCCTGGCACCAGTGGCTCACTTCTATATAATCCTAACTACTCAGGAAGCTGTGATCTCAGTATGATGCTTCAGAGCCAGCTGGGGAAAGAAAGTCCCTGAGACTCTTATCTCCAATTAACCACTTAAAAGCTGGAAGCAGAGTTGTGGCTCAAGTAGTAGAGAACCAGCCTTGAGCACAAAAGCTAAGGGACAGCCCCCAGGCCAAGTTTAAGCCCCAGTACTAGCACAAAAGAAAAAAACCCAACAACATAAAACACACACAAAACAAACAAAAAAAAAACCCACAATGTTGACAAGGAAGGATAGTCAAATAGGACTGGACCCTCTTAAGTGCATTTTCTGCTCTTGAGAGCCAGAGGTGGAAAGAAATGTTTCTACAATCTAAGATCCTATGTTCTCCAGCCAAAGGATAAATAAAGCTGAGCATTCTGGCTACTTATCAAGACAAGGGTAGGAATGATTTACCTGTGAGGGGACCCTTCTAGCTAGCTAACAAAGGGACTCTGGAGCTGGGTAAGAAAATGAAATGTGAAGCCAGGCGCCGGTGGCTCATGCCTATAATCCTAGCTACTCAGGAGGCTGAGATCTGAGGATCTCGGTTCAAAGCCAGCCCAGGCAGGAAACTCGGTGAGACTTCATCTCCAATAAACCACTAGAAAACCGAAGTGGCGCTGTGGCTCAAGCGGTAGAGCGCTAGCCTTGAGCTGAAGAGCACAGGGACAATGCTCAGGCCCAGAGTTCAAGTCCCCAGACCGACCAAAAAAGAACTGGGTGGGACAAGAGGTCCCAATTCTCAAGGCTTGGCCTGGGGAAAGGCAATCTGCCAGGGAGAACAGGGCTGGAGTACTGAGGGTGGAGGATGGGCTATGGCATCCTGCATTGTCCTGAGCTTTGTCATGAGATGAATTTATTGCAAATGGAAGAGAGAGCATTAAGTGCCCCCCCACACACACACATACATGGTTGCACACATCTTTCTGACCTTGTATTTGTCCACTACAACTACTCTTCATCAGAAAGCAGAGTGGGCAAAAAGGAAGCAGAGCAAATGTATTTGTGGAGGACAGTAACACCTATCCTCCTGCCCACAATACCGAATGACCTGGCATGTCTCATCAATATTTAGGACCCTAGTGGGAAGGAGCCAGGGCAACACATAGGCCTACTGTACTAAAGCTTGTTCTATTCACTCAAATATTCATTCATTCACTTTTTGTTTGTTTGTTGGGGAGGTGGTACTGGGGCTTAGAACTCAGGGCAACACTCTTACTAGAAAAGTACTCTATCACTTAAGCCAGTCCTTTTAGCTTTAGTTCTTTTTCCAATAGGGTATTGTGCCTTTTTTTTTCTGTCGGTCTTGGGGCTTGAACTCAGGGATTGGGAGCTGTCACTCAGCTCTTCAGCTCAAGGGAGCTCTCTACCATTCAAGCCACAGCACTACTTCCAGTTTTCTAGTAGTTTATTGAAGCGCAATCCTCAGATCTCAGTCTCCTGAGTAGCTAAGATTATAGGCGTGAGCCACCGGCGCCTGGCTTTTTTTCTTTTATTTGGCTAGGTCTAGTCTAATCAGAGATGTTCTTGCTTATACCTCCAGCATAGCTGAGATTACAGGTATGTATCACTGTGTTGAGATACTGTTCTCCTTAATTCTCCTGACCTTCTAGCTGGGAATACAGGTGCAAGCCATCTATCTACTGGATATTGAACCAGGGTTTCTACCATTTGAACTATATTGCCAGCCAGTAATTCTGTACTTTCTTTTTTTTTTTTTTTTTTTTGGTCGGCTGTGGGGCTTGAACTCTGGGCCTGGGCGCTGTCCCTCAGCTCTTCAGCTCAAGGCAAGCGCTCTACCACTTGAGCTACAGCGCCACTTCCGGTTTTCTGGTGGTTTATTGGAGATAGGAGTCTCACGGTCTCTCCTGCCCGGGCTGGCTTTGAACTGCGATCCTCAGATCTCAGCCTCCTGAGTAGCTAGGATTACAGGCATGAGCCACCAGCGCCCGGCTTAATTCTGTACTTTCTTAAACAGGGCTCTCTAAGTAGTGTAAACTCCATGTCCAAAGAAGCCTGTTGTTAGCTCTCTCCTGGAAAGCTAACAAGCACAGAGGGACTTCCTTCCCACCACATTTGTTCTTCACAAACCACAAGTCCATGACACTGCTTTTTGCGCTTGCAGTGGTGTATGGGGTGGGGCTGTGGCCCACCAGCCAGGCAGGAGGCTCTTGCTGAGTGGCTGAGACTGAAGGGAAAGATGCCTATAGAAGGTGAAGGGAAGGGAAGTAGAGGAAGGAAAGGCCACGCAGGCCAGGACCTAAGGCAACACCTTAGGGCAGAGAAACACATAAAGAGTGGGGCAAAGGTGACAGCAGGTGATGTAGAGTACCTGGACAGAACCACTGTCTAAGAACACAGGAGCACTTACCATTCAGAAGGCTCTCCATCTGGCCCCACATACATCTTTTAGGCACAGAACCCAGACTCATCGACCTCAGTAGTCCACAATAAGATAACAAAGTGTTGGGCTGGGAAGGTGGCTCAGTGGTAGAGTGCTTGCCTTGCATGCATGAGGCCCTGGGTTCGATTCCTGAGTACCACATAAGCAAAAAGAAAAAAGCCGGAAGTGGTGCTGTGGCTCAATGGTAGAGCACTAGCCTTGAGCTGAAGAGCTGAGGGACAGTGCCCAGGACCTGAGTTCAGGCTCCACGACCAAAAAAAAAACAAAAAAAACAAAGTGTTGAACCCTGGGCACAGGTGTGTGTGAGAGTGTGTGTGTTATTTTTAACCATGGTAACTGGTGCCAAATATGCCTTTCACTAAGGAGCACTCACAAAAAGACCCCTGCTCCATCTTTCTCCTCCCTTGGTGGGCTAAGGCGGTTTACTCCAGTCAGCACCCAATTACTGCAGAACATCATTCAGATGTTCTGTTCCCACTACACAGGTTCTGATAACCTTGTGTGCCTTCTGTCTATTCCAGCAACAGAGTGCTGGGACATTCCCTTACCCAATGCCAGGCAGGCAGGAAGCAGCATAATGACCAAGAGAGAGCCTAGAGGCCCAGGCTTCCTGACCAGACTTCTAATGGTAGAATCTCTATTTCATGTTATTTTATTTTTAAAAAAGCTTTTTTGTTGTTGTTGGCAAGTTGCAAAAATATAAATGATCTCTTAGGTGAAAAGCATAACAATCTTAAGAATTATGCCTGTGATACTGCAAGATCTATGTGAGCAATTGAATTAAAAAATATTTAAGCCTTCTGTTGCTTTAAAGATCCTAAGTTGAAAACCACAGAAGCCCATAAGTTCACACACCAAGCTTTACAAAGCTTTGTCTGAATTCTAAACTGGCTTCTCTTCAAAGCCTCAGGGAAGAAAAGTTTTACAGTGGAATCTTAAAGTTCATAAATATCCTGATGATGTCCTCTCTGGAAGGAAAGGGAGGAAGCAAGGAAAGGAGGACAGCCTGGTCTCAGAGGATCAGAGGGCCTGACTTCCAGGAACGAGGTTTGCCTTGAGCTAAAAGCTCATCAACAGTGCAGGGATTAGGGTCCTTTCTCTACAAGATGGGTAAAGTCTCACTTTTTTCTTTTTTGGCAGTACTATGGATGGGATCCAGGGCCTAGTGCCTGGTAAACACAAGCTATATCCCACTGAGCTACATCCTCAGACTTGTTCCAACACTTTTTAATGTATGCATTTTTAGAGTACTTTCAGACAGATTGTGAGGGGAAAAATAAAACTGTTGGGATATAGACCAATCTGCTCACACCCAAGTCACCAAAAAGTCTGTCCCCTAGCCACCAAAGCATACAACAGAGCAAGCCTTGGCCTCCTCAGGCCAAGTCAGCCCTGAATTATTCCTAAGAGAGCCACAAATCTATCCTGAACCATCTTATTGAGCACACTGCTCATTACCTTATCAGTTTTGGTGCATTCTCTGTGAGTCAGGCACTGCTGAACGAACAGAGGAAAAGGCAGAGAAAGGAGCGGAGCTGCACTCCATTTTTAACCCCCAGTCGTCGCTGGTTTTCTTTAGCTCCTGTTGCTGTTTCCATCCTTCTGCTGCCTAACAAGTTCCTCCCGAACCCTGAGTCTGTGCCAATCGTGGCGTGGAACCACTTTCAGGCTCTAAGTTCAGGCAAGTTTGGATCCTGAGGCAAGACCATCGATCCACCACCACCCTGCCAGATCTCCACGCGCCTAGGGCTCAAGAGTCCCCTGTGGCCCAGCTGCTCGGTCGATGCAAAAGTCCTTAAACACACAATCAAGCTGCGGAATTCCCGCCTAGGAGGGCGTTTTAGGTTCTAACTGACTCTCCGAAACGCCAAGGTCAAGGAAACAGCGGTCAGCCATCTGCCGGAGGAGCGGGGGCCGCGCGCGCGGCGTCCTTTCCCCCGGAGGCTGCGCCTGCCCTCCGCGGCACTAGCCCGGTGTTCACCTTCTTCCACTGCCGGGGAAGAGAGAGGCTAAAGAAATAAATGCGCCCTGGAAGCAACACGAGCCCTCTCCAAAGCTCCGCAGGCGCCGGGCGCCCACGTGCAGCCCGACAGCGCCCACCGAGGTCCCCGCTCGGGACGCGCGCCCGCGCCCCGGGGACCCCGCTCCCTGCGGTGCGGACTTCAGAGTGGGTAGGACACGGCCCGTGCCCCCCGCGGGGCTTCCCTCACCCGCCCTCCCGGGCCTGCCCGCCCGCGGCCACGGCGCTCACCTGTCCGGCTCGCAGCGCCAGCTGCACCGCCGCCTCGAAGCACTCTTCCCAGGGGCCCCCCGCGGGCACCGCCTGGTCCTCCACGCCGGGCTTCATCGCAACTTCGCAGGGCCCCGCCACTTCCAGACCTCGGCAGCGGGGCTTGTGCAGGACCGGGGTCGCCAAGACTCGAGGCTCAACACGCCCTTCTCCAGTTCCCGCCAAGCCGCGCCCCCACCGCCGCACGTCCCACCGACGAAGGCAGGAAGGGCGGTAGGAGAGAACCACCGCGCGGGCAGCCGCGAGCTCCAAGCCCCGCCCCGCACTCAGTCCCGCCTCCTACCACGCACCAAGCCTGGACTCCGCCCCACTCCCGGCCCCGCCCCCTACCGCGCGCCAACCGGTTCGCTCCTGGCCTCGCCCTTCGCCGGCCTCAGCCACGCCCCCTACCGTGCACCCAGCCCTCTCCCGCTCCTGGCCCCACCCAACCCCGAGCTGAGCCCGATTCCTAAAGGCCAGAGCTTCAACTTCTCCCTCTCCGCCCCGCCCACCGCTGAGCCTGTCCCCGCCCTGTCCCCGCCCTATCAGGTTTAGTTCCCGCCCCAACTCTCTGCTCCACCGGGACCTGGCTCCGCCCCAACAAGTAGCAGCCGACCCACTCCGAGGGCGCGGGGCTTGCATGGAACTGGCAAGGAGGGGCTGGAGTCCCGAGGCTGCCTGCTGCCGGGATGACGGTGCACGGGGCTGCAACCACCCCGGGGCATCACTGGGTATAGCGGGAGCTCCTCCAACCGCTGGTCCCCCACGTGCTAGTCTGTGGCTGCAGGTCTGGCCCCTGGTTGTGAGAGTCGCTTTTTCTTTGTCGGTGATGGGGCCTGAACTCTGGGCCTGGGCTCTGCCCCTCAGCTCTTCAGCTCAAGGCTAGTGCTCTAGCACTTGAACCACAACTCCACTTCTGGCTTTTTCTTCTTATATGGTGCTGAGGAATCGAACCCAGAGCCTCATGCATGCAAGGCAAGCGCTCTACCACTGAGCCAACTTCTCAGAGAGTCGATTTTGATCAGCGGAAAGCTGCTGGATTGACCCTGCCCCTTGGGGCGCTGGGCGCTCAGACCTGCGGAGCGCCCAGAACCAAGGTATCCTGGGGGTGGGGGTGGGGAGTGGAGAGCAGCATGCAGCAGTGTGGGAATGCAAACAAGTTTTCACTCCAACTAAAACCCAAGCCTAATGATGACGGTAGTCACTGAGTTTTATAAACTGTTTAAATTCAAAACTCAAACTTTGTGAACAGGTTTTGTGTAGAGAGAAATGACCTTCTCAACCTTGGGCTCCTCTAAATAGTAAACACCTGGCCTTGAGAAAAACATAAATACTAGGCATTTCCTGAACATGACCGCAGGGTGGCCAGGAGTTTAACTTCCTAAATTCCCCTGCCTACCCCTTTCATAAAAGCTGCTGATCCACACAAGATTAGTTTGGAGAGCTACTTCTCAATGTGGGAGGACAATGGGAGTTTGTGAAGGAACCTTGATGGACTTTTTTCTATCTAACCTAAGGACAGAAGTGATTCTTTTCCGTTTTTGTCTGAACTTTCTGCGTTCAAACACCTTGTGGAGCAACATTAACTGTCCAGATGTATGAGACAAAATGACAGCAGGAGAAAATAGAAAGGAGATCTGGTGACAGGTTTAGGAATCCTTTGACGCAAGAAAAGGAAATGAAATATTTCTTCCGCTGGCCAGTTAGGGCAGCTGATAGCACTCTCCTCCATCTTCTTTTGCTCAGGCTAGTGCTCTACTACTTGAACCACAGCTCCACTTCTGGCTTGTTGGTAGTTTATTGGAGATAAGGCTCTAGTGAACTTTTTTACCCAGGCTGGCTTTGAATCATGCTTCTCAGATCCCAGCCAGTAACTAAGATTACTGGCACGAACCACCTGAACCCAACTTCTTTTTAGCTTTATTTTTACATATACAATATATCCTTCCTATGTGTTCCATGTAGCTAGGACTACAGGTATGTACCACCACATCTAGTTTAGTTGTTGAGATGGGAGGGTCTCCCAAAATTTTTGCCATAATCTCTGCCTCAGTAGGGATTGCAGGGGTGAGCTACTGCACCTGGCCTGTTTGATCATTGCTTTTTTTTTTTTTTTTCTTTTTCAGTTCTGGGGTTTGAACTAACTCAAAGCCTTGTACACTCTGTCACTTGAGCCATGCTTTCAGCCCTTTCATCTGACCATTCTTAACTTCATGTATGGAAAATTAATTCATTTGCTGAAGTCTTAACCGAATGTGACTGATTTTGAGATAGAGGTAATTATGTTAAATTAGGACCTTTAGGAAATAGGGAATTTACATACAGAGCAAGGCCATCTGCAAACCAAATACAGTCTTCAGAAGAAGCTAACCTTCCCCACCCCTCAGCCTTGCATATCCTGACTCTAGAATTTCAAGAAAAAGGATTTCTGTTGTTTAAGGTATCCAGACTGTGGTACTCTGCTCTAGCTGCTCCAGATGGCTGATACTTGAAAACTAAGGAGGTATGCCTGGCGGCCTACAGTACAGGTTATAAGGAAGTCTCCACTGAAGAACTTCACGAGAGCCGGGTGCTGGTGGCTCACTCCTGTTATCCTAGCTACTCAGGAGGCTGAGCTCTGAGGACTAAGGTTCAAACCCAGCCCAGGCAGGAGAGACCTTGAGACTCTTATCTACAATAAACTACTAGAAAACCGGAAGTGGCACTGTGGCTCAAGCAGTAGAGCACTTGCCTTGAGCTGAAGAACTGAGGGATAGCACCAAGCCCAGAGTTCAAGCCCCACAACTGACAAAAAAAAAAAGAACTTCACATAAGAAAACAGGGAGGACAAAGTTCTGTGGTGCTCTGCATGCACGCACATACAGTCCATAAACTGAGTCACTTATGCAGTAATCACAGTCAGCAAAAGCCATAACTTTGTACTAAAGTTAAACAGATTGATTTAGGTGTCAGTCAATACTACGCCCAGACCTATGACAATGTACAATTGTAGTAGTCTTTATGAAGCTCTATCCCAGCAGAGTTGCGGGGGGGGGGGGGGGGGGGGGGGGGGGGGGGGGGGGGGGGAATGTAGGTTATTTCATTTTTCATTTATTTCCTGTAGAAAATTAGAGGTGTTCTTTAGGAAAAATCTCCCAAGGCTTTTTGTTTTGTTTGTGTTTTTGTACCTGTCCTGGGGTTTAAACTCAGGATATGTCCCTGAGCTTCCCTCCTCCCCCTCCCCACTCAAGGCTAGTACTTTTGAATCACAGCTCTACTTCCAGATTGTTTTTGGTAATTGGAGATGAACGTTTCCTGCCTGGGCTGGCTTCTACCTGCATCCTCAGATCTCAGCTTCCTGAGTAACTAGGATTACAAATGTGAGCCACCATTGCCTGGTTTGACTGTGGCTCTTTGAGGCTCTTCTGTGGACTCAAGGGTGGCAGTCTCTGCCAGTGTCTTCTCACATTTCTAACTAAACCTTCCAGTCTCATGGAAATATGTGGCTTCTGTTCCCCATAACCCTGATCCTCTAACCCTAGGTCCACCCTCTTAACCAAGCTATGCATATCTGCCAAATGCAAAGAGGCTAAGGCACAGCCCTGTTCCCAAGGGACTCCAAATCAGAAGCAGGATGTAAACGGGGGCAAGGGGGGTATATTTCTTAGGGTTATAACGTGTACCTAGTATTTGGGTGGTCCTGGGTTCCATTCCCAGCACTGAAACGAAACAAAAACAAAAAACAAAACTGAGTGTAAATGAATATTTGAAACTCAATGTACCTCATGTAATGATAGGACTTTTGTTTACAACAGAGATGTGGAAAGGTAGATCCAACTCTCAGGAAGACTGGAATGCTGGGGAAGACAGCCCAGAGGTAGTAAGGACAGAGCAGATTACAAATACAAAGGTGAACAACCCAGGTGCTGGCGGTTCATTCTTGTAATCCTAGTTACTCAGGAGGCTAAGATTTGAGGATCACAGATTGAAGCTAGCCCAGACAGGAAAGTCCCTGAGATTCTTGTCTCCAATTAGCTATGAAAAAGCAGGAAGTGGAGCTGTGGATTAAGTGATACAGCACTAGCCTTCAGCTAAAAAGCTCAGGGATAGTGTGCAGGCACTGAGTTCAAGCCCCAGGACTAACACCAAAGAAAGAATGGTGAGCAAGGAGATTCCAGGCCTTGGAATGCCTCCTAGGATGAGGCCTAGCCAGAGGACAGAAGCAGATCCACCCTAACAGAATTGTGTCCTCTAGCCTATGATTTCTCAAACAGGGTGATTTTGCCTAGCTCTGGTCCTATTTCTGATTGTCATACCTTAAGGGTTCTACTAGCAATTAGGCGCTGAGACCTTGTACATTGCACAATGGACATTGTACAATTCACAGAACAGCCCTGAACAAAAAAGACGAACAGCCCCACAGGTTAACAATATGGAGCTTTTTTTCTGAAAGAAAGCATGTTCTTCTTTAACTTAACCTGAGTAGTCTCCAGACCCATACTCTACAAGTAATTTTTCAAACCTTACCTGAGGCAAGTATTGTTGGGAAAGACATGATCAACTCAGGGGGACTGGCAGGGGTGTGCTCACTCATAGGAGGATTGGAAGATGAAACAGGAGAGCAACTCACAAACAAGAAAGGGAGGGAAATAAAGCAAGCGTAGTTTTTCACACCTGTAATCCCAGCACTCAGGAGCTAGAGCAGCAGATCAAGAGTTTGAGGTCAACCTGGGGTATATAGCAAGACCCATTTTTTAAAATACAAGGGATTGCTGGGCACTGGTAGCTCATGCATGTAATCCTAGCTACTTGGGAGCCTGAGATCTGAGAACAGTGGTTCAAAGCCAATAGGGCAGGAAAGTCCATGAGACTCTTATCTCCAATAAACCACCAGATCTGTGGCTCAAGTGGTAGAGCACTAGCCTTGAGCTGAAAAGCTGAAGGACATTGCCCAGGCCCAGAGTTCAAGCCCCACGACTGACAAAAATAGAACAAAACAACACATACAAGGGATTTAGCTCAGTGGTGAAGGAAGTGCTTGTCTATCCAGAGCCTGCTCTTGGGTTTGATCCTCAATGCTAAAATAAAAAGGGGGGGGGGGGCGCTAAAAGGTTATATTTTTTATTTTTTTATTTTATTTTTTTTTTGTGTGTGTGTGTGTCCTTTTTTTTTTTTTTAATTTTATTTTATTTTATTTGAGAACATACTGTACAGAGGGGTTACAATTACATGGGCAGGATAATGCATACATTTCTTACCAAGCATTGCAGCCTCCTCCTTTGTTTACCCTT